GTTCCCCAGACACATATTAAATATTTCTTGACTTGTCGAGAATCTGACAGGTGGCCAGAAATACTCCTTTTCTCTGTTACCAAAGAACGGTCATCCCCAGAGACAACCGGAGGGTGGAGTGGCCAGCCAGCTTTGTTGTTTTTAGTTTCTTACAGGATGTGCCAAGTATTGCTTTTCCACCAGTTCCAGGCTCCATATTTCTGCCTCCAGAAAGGTGAAAATCAGGTGTTCCTATACCAGTGACTCAGCAAGAACAAAGTTATCAGTCTCAGGTTTAAAATCAACTGCAAAATGCAAAAGAGGCCGCTCATCGGAGGGGAAACGTAAGCAGTAAGCACATTCTGCGACATCAGAAAACATTCTGGAATGGAAATCCGGAAACTGGAGGCAAAAGCTGCCAATGTAGGGGTAGAAAATGTTACTTAGCTTAAAACCCTTTAAGAATATTTTATCAAAAGATCCATTCCCAGTGATGTTATTTGAGGCATCTCTTTTATAACCGGCCGACGCACTTCCATTTAGCATTTCACTGACTTGAAAATCACAGTGCTGTGATCACGTCTCTAACGAAAGAGGAGCAGGTCTGCCAGCCGCACCTAATCGATACGTTCATTTCTGTACCCATTTCTGTCTGGTCTCAGAGGATCAGGGTGAAAAAAGTTCATTAGTTGTTTATTTTGGGAACAAAGAGCAGGAAGATGTGGGTGGACTGAGCCAGAGGACATTCTCTTTACCCTTCATCCTTTTCTTCCCGGGTCATCCACCGCAGGGGCAGGTCACTGGGCACTGCCTGGCTCAAGCAGATGGTTTGTGAACTTGGCTGATCTGCTTTGAGGTAGAAGGACTGAGAAATCTGAGAAGAACTGTGGTTTCTCCCAATGACGGCAAGAGCAAATCCTGCTTACAGTGTCCATACCACCCAATATTTCTGTCTATGCATGGTGCCGGGGACATCTTCGGAGCCAGTCTCGAGGAAGGGCAGACAAGGAAAGGCCCATTTTCCAAGCAGGAAGGTCTAAGAGTCAGTTTTCACCGCAATAGTGATGTATAATGTACCGGCTCGGAATTCAGTGACTTGGAACAACAATATTTATTTTCACATTCAAGTGTCTGTCGTGTTGACTGTGGTTTGGCTAATCCTGGCTGGCCGTGTCTGGTCGTCTGTGGCTCAGGCTGCAGACCAGCTGGGCTTGGCTTCGGGCTGTGGGATGGTCTCAGTTCAGCTTCAAGTGTCTGTTGTTCTGGGACTCTGACTGGAAGAGGATCGGCCTGGGCGCGCTCGTACGTGGAAGGCCGGAGGACGAGAGGCCATTCCAAGTCACGCAGGTGTAGCGCCTCTGCTCCGTTGTGGTCTACGCAAATTCTGCTCTCAGGGGCCAAAGCGAGTTACGTGGCCAAGCCCAGAGTGAGTAGGGGGGATGTCCTCTCTGCCACGTGGGAGGGCACAGCAGAGGTACATGGCAAAAAGTGTCAGTGTGTAATCGTATTACAGGGCATGCGGGATTGGGCCCAGTGATTGGGTGACCATAGAAACCCACCCCTGGCTGTCTTTAGCTGGGGATTCCTTTTCCACAATAATTTGTAACCGATCCATTTCAGGGCTGACATCCCAGATGGTTCTCTTCGGATTGAAGCAATAGGTTTTCTAGGCACCTCCACGAAAACCACTCCTGGGACATTTGTTAAGGGGAATCCAACCTGGGAAGTGACTGCCATATTGGTTTTTTTAGGGCTCAACTGGGCTTGGGTGTTCCTGGCTGGTTAAGTTGCTTAAATTAAGATTTTAAGTGATTACTCAAGAATAACTCTACAGAGTTAAAATTATAATCAGATTTCCTAAGGAGTTAAATTAAAATATGAAATAAATATTTTGTATCGTATAGTAAAAATTTATACACCTAAATATCGTTTATTTCAACCAATGTTTCCTAAAGGGTATTACATATCCACTGTGACATGGGGGATCACTTTACGTATTATTCGGGTAGTTTTTTAAAAAACTTATAGATTTATCCTAAGAGTTCCCTTCAATTTATAGAAAGGGATAGTGATTTTACTTTCACAGTTGTGATATCAAGTTTTCTGTTTGAATGCATTTATTTATGTAAAAAACTGAGTCAAATTAAAGAAAAAGTTAAGTATATCATAGTTTAAGTGGGTATAGATAAGGCAATAATTCTGAGGCGTCTTCGAAACCCCCTGCTGACTCTGTTCAAAGCCAGCATGGACTCAGACGACCCGAGTGTCCTCACCAGGATGCTGGTTACCATTTTCTTTCCCGAAATAGCCACACGATTCAAGCCGTTCCTTCTGTCCTCTTCGTCTTGCTCCGTCATCCTCTTTATGGGTGTCATGGTGACCACATGAGTCCCACAGTCCATGCTCCCTGCTTGGTCCAGGCCCTCCGTGGCTGGCAGTGTGCGGGGCCACGTTCTCAACACTGGACATTCAGTGGCATGTCTGTCTCCACCAGCCACCCCCTCTTCTTTCTTGCTAACAGAATCCACGGTTGTTAGATAAAATTCAGGACCATCCAAAATTTGGGGCAGACTGACGTGAACGCTATTCCTCGTTTAGCTGGGTGGGCATCTGTACTTTTATTTGCTAAATCTGGCTGCCCTAACAGAGCTCCTTTCGAGGTGGCCACACAGGACATGGATCGTTATTGGTCTAAGCTCTGGGGTTGGTGTTCTAGGTTCCAGGAGAGGTGATACCACCCACCAGCTCATTACATGGGCTCTCTGAGGCTGTTTTCTCCTGTTTGAGCTTGAAATGGAAGACAACAGTGTCTTCCCCAAAGGGCACTGGAAGGGTCAAATGGGTCAATATCTGGTGGGCACCTGGAAGAGTTCCTGGGCACAGAATGCACACTCAGCATGGCGTTGCTGATGAGGTGCAGGTGTCCTGACGCATAGACCAGGCGCCACCCTCTCAACCCACAGCACCATTTGGTGGCTTTCTGAGAATCCAACCAGCACAGGGACACGCTATCTTGGGTCTCATCTGTCCACCTGGTGAGCTTTGGGGTCCTCGTGTCTGGGGGTGTCCTAGCCGTATCATTAGCCTGTGACCTATTTTTAAAAGAACTTCCCCTAAGTAAGACCAAGTAGATGGATCAGAGCGTGCCGTTGACATGACTTCTGAATCAGTGAAGATTTTAAGCATGCGAACTGTTCTTTAGTGCTAAAAAGTCACAGGTAGCTGTTTTTAAGAAGCGGGGGGGGGAATCTGAGCCCTGAGTGGCAAATGCTTTGAAATAAACCAGCACCGAGTTTGACCTCGAGTTCTGAACTTTCCGTGCTCCAGGCAGATGAGAGTGAAGTGAGCCAACAGCAGAGAAAGCAAATTCAAACTCCCGGGGGATTTCTTTTCAATGGGGTCCCTCGGACGCGGCGCAGCTGGAGTCAACCCAGACCCCGATGACGGGATTATGACGCCAAGGAGAACAGTGGCAGCAATTTTTCACCTCCCTTTTATACCTGCTGATGCATCAGAAAATTGAGAAAGAATTAAAAGATAATTAAAAAGCTCTTCCAAATAATGCAAGGTTCAAGGAATGCAGGCAGCCACTAATGGGAGAGATTTAAAATGGGGGAGATAAGTGGTTTTGTGGAAGAAAGCAGAGGACGCGTTGATGTGGAAATTTACTCCCGGGTGAGTTTGCTTTTCTCCCAGACACCAGCACACGTCCTAACTGAAGCGAGTTCACTGCGGAACTCATTTCTGTCTAAACTAACCCTCATCCCGTGAGCCGGGAGGGTCCAAGCTGCTTGAGGTTGAGGCTGTGAACGGGGTCTTTGCTTGCGTTCCCCCACAAGCAGAGCCTGAGACAAGGGTTTGTAGGCAGGGAGGTTATTTAGGGAGGTGATCTGAGGACTGGAAAGAGTGAAATGGGGAAAGAGGAAAAGCCAAGCTCAGGATGTGTGTCCAGCTGATTACCGTGGGTGGTGACGCTACCCCCGTGAGAGGTGGGATGGTGTTCCCCCTCCTTGAATCTGAGCGGGCTTGTCTTGCTATGCGGCCTCCAAGGCTGAACCTAAAAGGCCACCTAGAAACTGATGAGTTTTCTCTCCTCCTTCGTTCCGGCAGCACCATGCTCCTCGACAGCGAGGCCTTGTTTCAAAAGCAGGAGTCTGGATTCCTCTTCTGCAACAGCCGTGAGCTTGACCCACTGGAGGATTCCACACCCTTGGCCGTAGAGATTGGATCAAGGATGAACACACGATTCAGTGGCACTCAATTCTGGGACTTCTGTTGAAACTGTGAGACAGAAAAGTCATTTTTCTACCAGGGCTGCTGAGGGTGTGACTAGGTGCCAGGATAGAACAACCTGTCTGAGGATGAGACCGCAGAGGGCAAGACAGAGCTGAGAGGTGGATGGGATCACTTCCTGATACTATCATTTGAGTACCTGGATCCAGCCATGCCTGAAGCTGTTACCTCTGGACCTTTTAATAACAAGAGCTAGGACCATCTCCTCCCTGCCTGTTTTTCCTTTTTCAGTCATTTTGATTTGGATTCTGTCAGTTGCAATCAGGATAGGGTGACTAATACAAAGACCAACATAGAAAAGATCTGAGATGTGCTGATAGATGCTAACTTACTTCAACAATAAGACCCCAACAGAGAACATCTTCTCTGATGCGAACAAAATGTTGCCTTTTAATTGGGGCTGATATAGTTTCTCATCTTAACGTTGTGGTCACTTCAGCAGGACTCAGTGTGGGTCACGGTGTGCTGGATGCTCCCCTGATGCTGCGTAAATCTCACAGAGGCTGTCTGTGAACATGGAGACGTCACAGGCTGAACCGAGCTGAAATTCACTGCCTCATCATTTATCTTTTCCTATAAGACAAAGAGAAAGAAATACAACATGCAAAATTATTAATGTTTGGCAAAAAAAGGTACATAAAATTAAAATCTTAATTTTTTTGAAACTTCCAGATGAGTATTGTTTGATCTGGACTTCCTTTCTATAGTCCAAGTGTTTTCTTCTCATTCATTACGAAACAAAAAATTAACTCTAGTTTAGCTTTTTATTTCTTCCTAGATATTATCTTTAACTTGCTATGGTCCCACGTCTCCTAAAGCCATTGAAGATGATGCATTTGTTTACAGCGACGCTTCAAATATTTTCTTAAAAACTATTTCAGTTTTGGCAAGATTCAGAATCCATAAACACATTCTGTCATGCATTCTCTTACTGTTTACATATTTCCTTAAAAGCAGGGATTTTCCTTCTGTTTTTGAGTTACGTTTATGCCCTTTCTTATTTGCTTTATAGCTTGCTGCCACGAGACAAAAATCTGTCCAAAGAAAAGAATAATTCCTATCTCCTCCCTCAAAATTTCTAATAAGTCTCCTCGTATATTCCGGAATCTCTTTCTTCTTGAAGGACTCAAATGGGCCTTGAAAATCCATGTTGTCACATGTTTATCAGAGGAGAGGAAAAGGCCCTCAAGCGTTCATATCCTTGCATCAGGGTTGTTAGGGGGCAGCGCCGTGGGAACCAGGCTTGCAGGCTTCCCCTGGGAGAAAGATACCACAAGGCAAGGTCTCGGAAAAGGGGAGAAGAATGAGTTCGTCACCGAAGCTGGAACGTGGCTTAAAGTGAGGAATGGCGGCTCACTGCGTTGTGTAGTTGTGAGTGTGTAATAATAAAAGGAGCCCTACAGCATCCGTCCCTAAGGCACTTTTTAATTTATTTTTTTTGTCCTGGATGCACAATCACCCACAGCAAGAGGCGTGCCATTCTCACACGCGGGCCGACCTGCGCTCCTGGACGCGGTCGGGCGCGTCTCGAGGACCCGCCTGTGGCTGTGACGATGGAGGCACCGCCACGTGCAGCCGGCCTCTGCCTCTCGACGGGGAGGGGGCGGGTGGGGGCCGGCGGGGGCGGCGCAGGGTCTCCCCTGCGAGGCCAGGCGGAGGTTCGCGGCTCCAGGTGCCCGCTCTGCTCCTCCCAGAAGCTGGACTCACGGGAAACGCAGGCCCGGCCGCCCCGCGAGCCCTCTATTTACAGCCAGGTCGGTCCTCTCAAGGCCAAGGCCACCCGGGGGACCAACATGGAACAGCCGGCTCCTTCCGGCTGCCTCCTTGGAGAAAGAGGGGCTGGGGGCGGGAGCGCTGGGGGCCCGTCCCTGCTCCCCAGGCCGCGTCCACGCGGGAAAGTGCTCCTGTCCCTACGTGTCCTCCGCAGCCGGGTGGGGCCAGAGCGGCGCTGCCCCCGGGGTCTGGGGGGCGGCCGGCCGGGGCGGGCACTCCCGATGGCGCGGGGCCGCGGGGCTGTCGTGCTGGTGATGATGAAGCCGGGAGTCTGGGCCACCGACAGTCGCCGGCGCCCCAGGAGGGGGGCGCGCGTGTGCCCAGCGCCCCATCGCGCAGCACGAGGGCTCAGAGACGCCCACAGGCGAAGCGGCTGATGATGGGCCCGGGAGCACAGCGCGGAGCGGATCCAGGAGCTCAGATCTCATCTGGGTCCGACGTCCCCTCTCTCCTTCCTCTCCTTTCCCTCCCTCCCTCCCTCTATTTCTTCTTTCCCTCGATTGCACTGGAAAATGCCTCGGGGTGCAAAATGAGACGTCTTTTTGTCGAGTCATCTGAGAAGTCGAACAGCCAGACTGATGAGAACGTGCCCCTGATTAAGCCCAGCATCTGATGTGACATTCTCTGTGGTTACGTTTACTTCCCGTTTCTAGGGCTTGTGAAGGAGGCGGCGCTGAGAAGGCAGCCTTGGGAGGTCCAAGGCGTCTGAAGATTTCATCAGGACGTGCCCCCTGCGGCTCCTCCCCGGGGTTTGGGGTCACGAGGATGTTGCCGCCTGGGACCCCTCCTGGTTACTGCCGTGAACCCGCCGGGCGCGGGGCCTCCTGCCACCTCGACGTCCGGGCTCCAGGCTCCCGGATCTGGGCCCTTCTCGACAAAGCCGCAAGAGACCCGTGGCCCCTACTTAGAGAGCAGAGCTACCAAACGCCTGGTCACTCAGGCCAGTGACCTCCCACGGGCATCCTGGGGTCCCCCCTCTTCTCCAGCCTACCTTGAAGACGCTAAATTTGAAACAGGCTGCGAGTCTTTCCGCCCCCATCCTGCTCTCCAGTGGGCAGCTCCGTCGTTGCTGGGGTCACTGTCCCCCTATCCTCTGCCTACCCAGAAATCTACTCTCAACATCCACCCAGAGCCAGAGAGAGCTCCGGGAAATCAAATGAGCTCCTCTCACCTGGAGTGAGTGTTTCAGTGGCTTCCCACTGCACCTGGGAGAAAGTGACCCCCAGCCCCCATCATATCGCACAAGGCTCCCAGGATTCCTGCAGGTTCCCCCAAGTTGTCTCCTACCACCCACCCCCTCACTCCTCCCATTCCAGCCACACTTGCCTTCCGGCTCTTCCTCCAACACCCAAAGTCTTCCTGCTTCAGGGCCTTTGCATGTACTGCCCCCTCTTCTGGAATGCTCTTCCCTCAGCTCTCCCATGACCTGCTCCCTCATGCCCTTCCATGCTCTGCTCAGGTGTCACCTGCTCAGAGGACAGCCCTGACCACCTGTCTAAAGAAGCCCTCGGCACCCACGTCGTGTCCCTACTTCCTGCACAGAACTTGTCGCCATGTGAAATTGATGTACTCATTTTATACCCTTCTGTTGTCATTTTCACCCACAGGAATGTCAACCATGTGAGAGAAGAAACTGTCTGTTCGCTGTGGATCCCTGCTCTGAGAACGGGGTCAGCCACAGGGTGAGTTCTTGGTTTGTGTTTGTTGAGTAATTGAACGAGCAAGAAGAATCATAAGATGGAATTCCAAGAATTCCAAAATAAGTATTTAGATCATAGAATGTTCGAGTCAGAAGGAGCCCTTGGAAACCATTCAGCCAAACCCATTCCTTTTGCAGATGGGTGAACTGAGACCCAGGAGGACAAAGTGCCTGCTCCACACCCCAAGCCAGGGGCCCTGCTCTGTGCGGGGGGATCCGCCTGCGTGGTTGTGGGGGCCACTTGTGGCTGTCGGGCGTCATCTATCCCTGACACATGGCCAAGGAAGATAGGGACAAAAGGCACAAATATGCCAAAAGACAAAAGACTAAAAGCCACATGGTTCAGAGGAGACAGAGCTGGAGGCTGGGTGCCCAGTGGCCTGGAAAGCTCCCAGAGGACGAGGGGTCTGAATGGCTTGAGGAGCCGGTGGACCCAAACTTTGAGGGTCAACTCATGGGAGGGCCTTAGGCAGGAACAGGCTGAGGCAAATTCCTCAAGAAGGTAATTCAGGGACAGAAGCATCCGCTGGCTGCCTGTCACAGCCAGGGGCCTTTCACACAGAAATCAGATCATGTGTTCGCTGCCTGGAACCTTAGCTGCTTCTGTACTGAGGCAGCTCAACAGACGACCACAAACCGGGTGGCTTCAGACAGGGGTGATTTGTCTCTCAAGTTCAGGAAACCGGAAGTCTGAAATGGGGGGCAGGGTCGGTCCCTCCTGGGGCTCCGAGGCAGCATCTGTTCCAGGCCCCCTCCAGCTTCTGGTGGGGACCGGCCTCCTTGGGGTCCCTTGGCTTGTAGATGCATCGCTCCCATCTCTGCCTCACGGTCACACGACCTTCTCCATTTGTGTCTTCACACGGCTTCAGACAAGGACGCTAGTCATTGTATTTAGCGTCACCCGAACCCAGTACGACCTCATCTTAACTAATCACATCTGCAAAGACCCTCTTTCCAAAGAAAGTCACATTCTGAGGTTCCGGGAGGGGCAACGCTATTCAACCCAGTGCAGCTTCCCATTCTCCCGGATTGAAAGCTGAGCCCTCTCCAGGCCTGTGGGGCAGAGCAGCCTGGTGCTTGAGACCAGGAGGCTGGAGCTGGGCTGCCCGGGTGAGCACCCAGCTCGGTCGTCACCCCCGTGTGCCTGATGGTGGGTCATGGCTCCCTGTTCTTTATTCCCCTTTTGCCACGTGATGTCATGGGGCCTCCCAACGATGTGGGATGGCCAGGTGACCTGCTCTGCTCAATGGGGCACTCGTGGGCTTGACCACGCAGAGGCCCTAAGTGCACTTGTGGGATCTGGCTTGGTTCTTGGCTTCTGGAAGGTCCTGCCCCGAGGAGCTGCCCTCCTAGGGCTGATGAGAGCTTCGCAGGGCTGACCTGAGGCCGATCCCCAGCCTGCGGCCAAGCCCGGCAGCCCGGTGACCCTCCACAGAGTCACCCCATCGAGCCCAACTCAGATCAGCTGAACCCAGACAACCTGCCCTCCGCGAGCTGGGAAGTAAGTCACTGCGTTTGGATGGTTCGTTACAGATCAACACTGGGACAGTGGCCGAGGAAAACAGAAAAACGCCGCTGGGCACTCAACCCCCCTCTCGGTTTCCCCATCTGTAAAATGGGGCTGATAACAGTACTGGCCTCCTCAGTTGTTGTGAGGGTGAAGTGAGATAATAAAGGTAAAGTGGCACGTGGTGAGTATCAGTGAGCTTCAGCGCCATGCTATCACCAGGCCCAGCACGACCCTGTCATCTCACGTCCCCTCCATCACTTGGTTGAAGGCAAAGGCCTCCTCCTCCTGTTTCTGGAAAACTCTCTGCCTTTGTGATCTTCCCGATCTCCACGAGGGTGGGTCTCCTTGTCCTCTGAGCTCAGCTCCGATGGCCCATTCGCAGAAGCGCCCTCCCGAGAGCTCGGCTGCCCCTGAGGCCGCTGCCCGTCTGCTTGTTAGCGTCTGTCCACAGCCAGAGGGCAGGAGCTCCTTCTCTTTTGTCCTCTAGAGCGTCCCAGGACTTGAACCAGCCGACACATACTAGGTGCTCAATTAATACTGTGAACCTATTCTCAAGGGCAGACCAAGCCTTCTCTTTACGTGTGTGTCCCCAGCAAATCGCATCCAACACCTTCCTTGCTCCATGTCTCTTCCAGGGGCGGAGGCAAGAGCAGATGAGGTCCCTGCCCCACGGAGCTCCCACGTTGGCAGGAGAGAGACAGGAATGTGAAATCGAGCGGGGCCGCACGTGGCCGGTGGTGAAGGTTGCCAAGAGGGAAGCACAGCAGGATAGGGAGGCGGGGACAGGAGTGGTGCGGGCTCAACAGGCTGTTCAGGGAGGGACTCACTGAGACAGTGACATGGGGCAAGGGGCCTGAAGAAATGAGCAGGGGGCACGAGTGTTCTGCAGGGAGCGTTCAAGGCAGAGGGCACAGCCGGTACAAGGCCCGTGTGTGCGAGGAGCAGTGGGGGCCAGAGTGGCTGCAGGGAGGTGGACGAGGGAACTGTGGGGGCCGAGGTCAGAGAGGTGACAGGACGGGATCCGTGTACGACCTTGAGGGCCAGTGAAAGGACGCTGGCATTCCCTGTGCGTGTCAGAGCCCTTGGATGGGTCTGAGCACAGGAGTGACGTGCTCTGAGTTCATTTTAGGTGACCCCTCAGGCTGTGTGCGGGGCCAGACTGTGGGGCAGAGGGCAGAAGCAGCCGGACCTGCGAGGAGGCCGCCAGGGCGGGGGCAGGAAGGTGCAGGCCGGGGTCACCAGTGCCAGCTCTGGGATTTGCACCTGAGGGTCGGCTGACGGGATCTGCTGATGGATGGGGCGGAGGCGGTAAGAGGGAAACAGACCGTCAAGGAGGACGCCAAGGGCTTTGGGCTGAGCGGCTGGAAGGACTGCCGTGCTCCTGAGTCAGGTGTGGGAGGTCTCAGGAGGAGCAGGCGGGAGCAGGGAGCGGCTGAGAGGCAGAGAGACCTTCCAGAAAGGTCTGGGGTCCTGAGCCAACTTGGCCCCCCCTCAAGAGCTTCCTTCATCTGAGCTGCAAGGACGACCACCTGTGTTGTCCCCGAGCGGGTGACGCCAGCCAGGCTCTGCACTTGTGTCTCCCTCCGAGAGACAAAGGTCAATGTCACAGCAGTCTGCTCTGATGCTGGCTTCAAGCCAAGGCCCTTAATATTCAATGAGAAATCTGCATTGATGAAATTTTCATTAAAGAAACATTATCCGTTTCCCTTGCCTTGTTATTCTGTGGCTGTGGGTATCAGGCTAATTTGGGTTTGATTACCCCGATGATCTGAAGATTGGAGCATTATTAAAAATTTAGATGAGCAATGATAGGTCTGCGCCTCCCTCTCCTCTCTCAGCCGGAGCACAGGGGCTCTGCTAACGATCACAACGAATTCGGGGCAGACATGGCAATTAGAGGAGTATCGATAGTTCGAGGGGGCTTCAACCCCTCTGCCTCCAACGGAAATCGGCTGGGTGGCTTCCAGGGCACTCAGATTTAATTGATAAAATGCAGCAAAAGAGAATTCCAGTCCTAGACCCAGTTGCAGTCTAATGAGCTGTATGCGTGCCTGAGCGGGTCCCCTCCCCTTCCTGTGCCTGAAACGTGCCCCACGTGTGGAGGAAGGAGCCTGCACCAGGCAGATGCCTAGAAACGGTGCCCGTGGGCTGCGGTCAGCTGCAGAGGGAATCTGTTGGCCAGCTGTTTTTTTATCTGTTTAATGAGCACCTTCCTAGACTTATGATCTCGGGCTCTGTGTTTCCTGTCTATTAATTGTCTGATTCTCCCAACCACCATGAGAGACAGATGCTCTCATCATTCCCACCTCACGGATGGGGAAACTCTGACCAAGAGGGCTGACGTGGTTTACTCTGGGTCACCTGCCAGGCAGGAGCAAGGGTACGAGTTGAACTCAGTGGTTTGTCCTCCAAACCCTGCTTTAACACCTGTGCTACAATTCCTCAGTGTTTCAGAAGTAATTAGGTATCAAATTTAAAACATTTGTAGTTTTCTATAGAAACAGAACTTACATATTAAGAAGTTGGCAGCTCTGGTTCTGTAAAGGTGTCTGTCTCTGGAATGTCACTATTTTGTACTTCATGAGACACTAATTACTAACATCATTTACCATTTGTCTGTCAGGAGAGATGGCAGCTTTCAAAACGGGAGCCCAATCTTTCAACAAGCCCAAGAGAAAAACTGGCAATGTGCAGGGGGGAAAACCTATTTGAAAGCATCAGAGAGCGACTTAGGCTGCCAGGACCTGAGGGACCAGCATCTCATACCGAGGGACATGCACTGAGGGGAGCCCTACATCCTCCACCTCCTTCCTCTTTGAGGATTTCCCAATTCGTAAGTCGGGGGTGAGTGCCGACAGAAACCGAGAACCTTTCAGCAAGCTCATGAATCTGGGGACAAAACACTTGAAGTTGGAGGCCCCAAGGCAGCCAGGGTTTGAGGGCCCGAGATCTCAGAGAAGATAGGACCCCCTAGAAGAGGCTCTGATTTGCTGCAGTGTTTTCGCTTTTGAAGCATTTGCTGATTCCTAAGCTGTACAGACATGAGGCTCAGAGGACAAGCAGAAATTGAGCAGGTGAGAGGCCGAGAAAGTGAGCAACGTCTGCACCAATATCATGACGCCCTAACAGCCGAACTTGGAGTTCGGTTGTCACCCAACAGGTGGAGCCACGGAAAATGAACGCTGGTTTCCATTGAGTCCTCCAACAGACTTGTTCTAGGAAGTAAGGACAAACCAAATAAACCAGATCTCATAAAAATGGAAAATCAGTCTTGAATCATTACAATCATGGTAACCTGTCCTTACTCTAGTGGCTGTCAGGGCAAAAAAGGTAAGTCTGCTTCAGGAAAAATATAACATCATCCACAGACACTACACTATTTCAAACAAAATGCCTAACCAGCATTCATAAAAATATTACCAGACATGTCAGAAAGAGGACCAAATAACCAAAAACCAAGAGCAAACAAAACAAGAGATAGACAATAAGAAAAAGCTCACAGATGACTGGTTAATGAGGCTGTTGGAGATAAACTGTAAAATATCTGTTATTAACATATTCAATAAAAAGATGACAAGATGGAAAACTTTATTAGAGAAACAGAATATCTAAAAAATAATCACATGAATATTTGCTAACTGGGAAAATACAATAACAGAAATTAAAAAGACAATAGGCTGGTGTAATAGCCAGTTAAACAAAGCAGAAGATAGAATTGTTGGAAATATCCATACTGAAGCTTGGCGACCAAAGAGGATTGCAGGTACACAAAAGAGCCTTAGACATCTGGACCAGGGTGAATAGGTCTAACGTGAGTGTAACTTAAATCCTAAAAACAGGGGAAAGAGACTGTCAGAAGTGCTGTATGAAGGTATATAACTGAGGCTTCTTCAAAGTTGAAAGACACTAAGTCAGAGATTCAGGAACCCCTGGCATGTTAACACAAAGAAATACATACCTGAAAGAAAACAATGGCCAATCTAGAACTTTATTCTGTTAAAATTATCCTTTGAAGGTGGATAATCAATAAATGTTTTCATGGAAGCAAAAACAGATCATTCATAGTCAGCAGATGTGCATTAAAATAAATACCAAATGGAATTGTTTAGGAAGAAGGAAAAATGATTCTAAATGAAGAATACAGGAAAAACGAAGACTAATAGAAAGGGTAAATATGTTGGAAAATTTAACCATGAGTGCACAAAATAGCAATAGTAATAATAATTTGTGGAGGTTTATGATATATGTGGAATTAAATTACTTGCCAAGGATGACACAACAGCCAGAAGGAGGTTCTATCATTCTAAAGAGCTCCAAAGCTCTCCCATTGTCCGAGTGGTAAAGTTGTGATTTAAGGTAGATTCTAAAAGGTTGAAGATACATGTTGTCATCTGTAGGGTATCCACTAAAGAAAAACAGAAGAAGCCAAGATGGCGCCATGAGTAGTCCTCTTTGTCTCTCGCCCTTCGAGTCTACAATTATTTGGACACTTATCGCTTGACAAAGGATATCCAGACAGCATCTCAGGACGTCTGAGACACCCACGCGACTATACATCGGAAGGCGGACGGACTTTCCTCCGGGAGGATGTGGAAATAGGTGAAAACTCTCCGACCCCGACGGGCAGCCTAGTACCCGCAAGCGGCTTTCTTCCAACGGACGCCCCCAGAGGATCCACACACATCTAGGGCAGGAGCGAGAACACAACAGAGGAGCGACGGTGGAAACAGGTGACCAGAACCCTACTTAAACCCCCCGCAATTACTCCTAAACGCAGAGGGAAACTTTGGATGTTGCACACCTGAGCCGCGGGGAGAGTCTCTCCCCGCCATTGGCGGAA